TGGGCCCATGCCTACTTCGATCGTCCCACCTATAATTGAGGTGTTGATCTGCTTCCAGTCATGGTTTTGTCACAGTTTTCTGTGCCCTCCCATGTCCTTTTTAAATCTAGAAATCTCTGTAAACCCTTGGATGCCATTAGGACTATGGTCTCCCTCATCTAGATAATGTGACTTTGCCTCATCTTTTCCTGTTCAACACATGGTAAATGTTCTCCTTGAAAGGAATTTGAGATTTGGCATCTCTTTTGTTCCCCAAGAAGGAGCCCTGGTGGTGGAGTGGGTATGCATCGTGTTGCTAACCACAAGGTCAGCCGTGTGAAACCACCAGCTGCTCTGAAGAGGAAAGATGAGGCTTTCTCCTCCTGTAAGGAATTATAGTCTTGAGAATTCACAGGGGCCGTTCTACCCTGTCCTATAGGGCTGCTGTGAGTCAGACTTGACTGGATGGAGTGAGTTTCTACCTTAAAATATTATGTAGATAAATGATTAAAGTTGAGATTAAAAACAAAGCAGGATTTGATTTGTGACTATTGCTCAAGCCAGACAGGCAATGCACTGACTGTTTCTAGTAAAGTGAAATTCTTATAACATATCTCCATATTCTTCTTGTCTTTGTTGCCTTCATTCAACACTTAAAAAATTAAGTTTCCAACTTAACTATTGTTCTTTAACACCTCTTCCTTGTATTCCTGGTATTTATTCAGTTTGCTCCTTGAGGGTCAGTATTTTCCTATGTTTTACTTGATGTCTTTGTTTCTGTTGTACCATATGTATAAGATACATGAAATATTTCTTTTCTGCTGCTGTTTGATCCATAGTTTGGTTCCGCATAAACTCGTAGGTTAATTAAATATTGGGGGGGGGTGTCTAAAAACTTAAGGAATTTTTTAATTGCCTTTAGCATGTTATGATAACCCATCTAATAATGTCCCAAATCTCAACATTTTGGCTGTTTATTTGTTTTTTTCTTTCTAAAACCCTTTTAGATTTTCTTCTTGTTCTTGTCTTTGGTGTTGACAATATGGGCTTAAGTTTTTGCTTTGCATTATTTTCACTATATTACTTACCCATATTGTTTTTCTGTGTTGTAGTTGTTGAGAATATACACAGCAAGGCAGAAGGGTTAGCTCAGAAGGTTATGCTGACATTTGGGTGATGTTTCAAGGGGGTAATCTAGGTAGATTTTCTTGGTGAACACAGGGCAATAATGGTGGCCTATTAGGAAACAGTTTTAATACAATTGGAAACTGCATTGGTGAGCAAAAGCCCAGGAAGTTGCACTGAGAAATCTCTTTCCATTATGACAATGCAGCTGCTCATTTTTCCAGGATAACGTGTTGTGCTAGGAGAATTTTGTTGAGAATTTTAGACACCCAGTCCTAGCATTCTGACCTTGCCCCTTGAGATGGTTAGATTTTGTTTCAACTTGATGGTAGAGGCAGGGATGGAGTCCAACCTGTCAATCAGCTCATATTCGGGCGATGTCTCCTTGAGGTTATAGCCTTTTTTTGCGAGGTTCTCTCTTGTACCCCATTTTGACTTCCTGTTTTCTTGGCTCACATGTCTCCCTGGGGGTTTGACAATCCATGTGGCCTAACAGCCCTGGGAGCTGTGACCTCCTGGATGTTCCTGTTTGGATCCACTTTGGAGCCACATGAGAATGCACCCAATGGGAAAAGATCTCCCAGTTTCCCATTTCCTGCTTCCTTCCCCACAATTGTGTGAGTCCAAAGAGGGCTCCCACTAGGATAAGACCAATAGTCTTGACATGGACTAGATTGGCCTTCTTTCTTGATATAAAGTTCTCTTTATTTCCACAGGGAAAGAGGGACCAGACTTCAACCCAGTGCTCCAACACGTGAATGCAACATCTGTATGAAGCAGGGAACTAATAAATATATCTACATCCAAGTATGTGAACAGCACCCCTCCCTGCAGAAGAATTCACTTCAGAGGACAACACTGAAGCTACAGCTCAGAGAGAGGGTCATGTCTGATGAGAGTACACAGGAGCAAATGAAGGGGGAGAGAGTGGAACACATTCTGGCCCACCAAACCCAAAGGATGATATTCCCGCTCAGAGCAGCCAATGCACAGTGAGGACCATAGGGCCAGCCCCACTATGAGACACAATGTCCCTCACTGACCCATAGCACTA